GGGAATGTACTTGACTAGACATCTTTTGAAAGTTGTATATTTTGGAAAAGTTGATATACTTTGAAACTTGTGATGTAAGATTGAATATCTATGTATGGAAGCGACTTATTTTCTCTACTTCGACTTGAATATTTAATTGTTGTCCCTTTAAGTTTGAATTGGTATTAGTTCTGGCGAGAATTGGGTAGGCGTCCCGCCGATACCCTTGGGTTCGCCCTTGGAAAAAGTGGGGACGTCATAAAATATGTTAAAAATATATAGACATAAAGAGTTATAATATAAATACCATCTAATTTTTATTTTCAAATAATAAAATCAACATTCAAGAAACTCGAAGAAAGAACTATTATCAGCTACTTCTATTTAAGTGGTGTTTTCTTAGGTTAAGAGCATAGTATCCTTTAATCTAAAAGTCATGAAGTGTTACTGCAATCAATCCAATCTAATAAGCAATATTAGATGAGTTTATAAATTTACTAATATATATATATATATATATATATATATATATATATGGTTAAACATAGAAACCCCCCATGAACTATTATATTAGTTGCATTTTACACACTAAAGTAATTTAATAAGTACTTTACACCATTGGTCAACTAAAAAATAACATGAAAATTAATTTCATCCAGGTAATTGATGAAATGACCATTTTATCCTTCACCAAAAATTTAAGCAGCAAAAACAACATTTTGGTGGGAAAGATTACTACTTTAAATAGACCAATTTTCACTTTATAACCAAAAGTCTAATTGTTAACATTTAAAAAAGTTATATTGCTTCACTTTGAATGAGAATTAAGACTATTGAGGTGTAAGGGAGGACAAAATATGGAAATATTGAGCAACTACTATTGCAATTTTTAAGAGGTCATAATTTTATTCAACACATCATAATCCATAACTTCATATAATCAGCAAAATTTCACTTGAAATCTTCACAAGAATAAAACTGGATGGAACCAAAAAAAATTTCATATGAATTTAGCACAATAATTGCAACAAAGATTCAATACGTAACCAAAATTAAAACTCACATATTAGTAAACAAAATAGTAAAAAAATATTGGACATAGAAGTTTTGATAAAACACCTAAGTTACTTACTTTTCCTTGATAACAATCTTTTCTTAGCTAGGTTAACTTGAAATATGTAGTAACATAGGGTTGCTGGGATTCTTTAATTGAGTCTATTCCTTTTCTTTTTTTTTTCCTACTTCTTTTGTTTTAATTGTCATTGAAAGTGATCAAATATTTTATTATTATATGTTTTCAATTAGAATCTTATTATGACATGAAAATTAATCCATTTAAAGTGACAATTTTCTACGAAAATATATTTTTGTCACTTATAAGCTTTTAATAGAGGATAAATTAGTCATTTCATCAATTATTCGAATGGAGCTAATTTTCTTATCATTTTCTAGTTGACTAAAGGTGTAAAGTGTCCATTCAAATAGTTTAGGGTGCAAAGTGCAATAGTATAATAGTTCAAGGGGGTTTTCTGCATCTATTTATATATATACTCAAACCCATAACTTTCTTATAAGGTTTGGGTTTGGGTTTGATAAATTAAATATAAATTCTACCTAAGTATATTGGATATGGGTTGGATTTGAGTAAGATCTAACCCATTGACATATGCTTAAACACACCCATAACCTCTCGCTCATCTCATGACTCTCCCTTTCTCTATTCCTCGCTCATCTAACTAGTTGCCGCTGCCATTGCCTTACTATCTCCATAATCTCCATTAATCTTAATATCTAGCCACTCGCATTCTCGTAAGGTCATGGTCCTCCTTAGGGGTGTTAAAAAGAACTGAAAAAGTGGGTAATCGAGAAAATCGAATTAATTCAAATCAAAAAATAGGGTAACCAACTTCTAATGTTTAAAATTTTTAGGTTACTCGAACCTACTTGAAAAATTAGGTTAGAATATGATTTTCAATTTACAAAAATTGTGGTTATCGGAACTTACCCACATGTGTAAGGTTAGTTAAGATAAACAATATCCAAATCTCAACCATAATTATTTAGTCATTTACTAATAATTTAATTTACGAGCCCCATGCCATTATATATTTTATTTTTCACAACCTATAAATTTGTATATTTAACCGTATCTTTCATTTACTTTTTCCATTTCCTACATTCGTTACGACTAATTTATTTATTCTACTACTCTTTTTTTTTATCTTTCTTCAAAATTTCTTTTCCTTTCTCATAAATTCTATCCATTACACCACTCTACTTTTTTATTTTTAATTTTTTAGAGCTTACATATTAGGTTGTGAAGCAGTCTATCATCCTTAATAAAAAATTGAGTTAATAGTTTTCAAGAAGTAGAAAAGACAAAAGCAAATGTTTAAAATATTTTATGTTTTAATTATCTATTTTTCTTTGATTTTCTATTTTGTTGGTAGTTTTTTGGAGCTATTGGATTAAACACTCTTATTAATTTTTTTTTCAACTAATCCCATACACGGAGATGGACGCCACCCCAACTTTTATTCAAATAAAAAACAAGAGTTACAAAAATTTTAAATGAAAATGATCAATACCGCGGCCTAGCCTATCCTCATCTTCCTAATAGAAGGCATTCCTAGTTTATCTAGTCGGATTTTCCTGCATGCCAATTGGAAACACACTATTGTATTTAAACAACTATTGTATTTTTTTTTGTTAATCTAATTTATTTTTCTTTTTCTCTTACAAGTAAAAAAGGGTTAGGTTACCCTATATACCTAATCCTATCTTAGAAGTAAACCAGTCAGTCATTAACCGATTGAATAAGGTTAGGGTATGAAATGCAATTTTAACCGCTACCTGTGATTAAAGTTAGCGAAATTGCAAATGGACTAAATTATCCAATCCATGAACACTGTAGTCCTCCTTAGTCTTAAACCTCTTACAGTTGTTGATTGCAACGAAAATTGTTGTATGGTTTTTGAAATTCTTGTAGTGGTTATTGGTTAGCGTTCTTGTAGGGTTGAAATCTTGAATGGTTTTGGCAAAGTCACGTTCCTCACTCCTCATAATCTGAACTTTAAGCTTCAGTTTGTTTTTCTAAATTAATTAGGTGAAAGCTGTTAAATATCACATTCTGAATTCATTTCGAGGTGAAATTGAAATTGAACTTCTCAAATTTGAAAGCAAAAAAGGTCAAAATATTCTATAATCAAATTACTGATTTCTTCACTCGATTTCAATACTCACCCCTAGTGTGGACAATATTAGAAGCAAGATTCTCGGACAGTTTCAAGAAGATTTAACTTCACCGAATGCTAGCATCCAAGATGCAGCTGTAGCAATGCGTCTCGCACTTATCAAAGCAGCTCAGCTCGGTTGGCAAAGGATCAAAGTCATAAATGGCAATAAACAACTTATTGGCCTGCTGAAAACTGGGAAGGGAAACAACCCGAATATAGCTACGTTGGTGGAAGACATACTTGCTCTTGCAAATCTGTTTCACGTGTGCTTTTTTGAAGAAGGAAAATCTACTAATATGGCTCTATGTAAAATAATTAGTTTTTATGCTTTAAGCATAGTTATGGACGAGGAGAGATTTGTTGTATCTCCTTAGTGTCATTGTACACTTTGTATAGGCAGTTGAGCCGTTGCTCAAATATTGTAAAGTCTTGGTTGTTATAAAATCCATCTATCGTTTCCGGAAAAAAAAAGAAAGAATGCTAGCATCTTTAGAAAATTATTTATATCTGAGGCGTCCTTCATAAACTCTCTTTAATTGCATGTAAGTAATCAAAGTTTATCCTTTCATAAGAAACAAAATTTTTTAATTTTTTTTAACGCATGCATGTTTGTTTCGTTACCCTAGCGAGAATTTTTTCCACGCCTTTGATTTCGTTGTGAGTGTTTTTTCTTTGTTCTTTGTCAAATTTGTATTTTTATGTGTCAGATGGGAACTTTTCTTATCCTATTTAAAGTAATTTCAATTTAGGTCCGACCGTTAAGACATGTATCCTTTGGGTTACAGAGATTAGTTGAAGTTGAAGAACAATGATTTAGAGATACAAGGGTGCCATTTTAGCTGATTTTTCAGCTTGGAAGGAATTCCTTCCATGAATCTGATGCATGCATATTTTCCCATTTGATGCAATTTATTGAATCAACAAAGTGGTGATTTTTTTTGTTTTAAAGCAACGAAGTGGTGATTGTTACTTATCAGAAAAATCAAACGTAATTTATCCAATATCAAATTTATTAAAAGAGATAGATACAATAAGACGAATGGTTTAAATGAGAGTTGAATATATAAATGGGTAAAAACCAACTTAATAACTTGCAGATCAATCTCACCAATCTCATCAACTAACACTCTGCCCCTGAACATTTCGAATTTTTTTTTTTTTTTTTAGGAGTGTCCCGCAGGGAGTGGACCCTGTAGACTATTCCCCACCCTCCACAACTTGCTGGCAGCAAGGTTCGAACCAGGGACCTAAGGCTCCATTTTCAGCAACCTTAACCGCCAGACCAAGTCCCGGAGGCTCCTGAACATTTGGAATGGTAATACTTTACAACATTGTAAATATTATTTGTAATTTAATTTTCATCATCCCATGTGATTATTTTTGTTCCCAAATTACTCTCAGCCTTTCTAGTTTCTTAACAATCAACTTTTAGATGGTTACAGTTACGTGTTACGTATTCAGAATTAGGATATTAATTTGATCTGCTAGTTCACTGTACCAGAGCAAAAGGAAAATAAAAAATAAGCAATCGACTAAGAAACCTTCAAAGAGAATCACACATACTAATAAATTATCAAACCGTTACGCTCCCCAACTTGGATAAATTTAAATTTGTCGAGCGAATTAATTAAAATGAGAACGGTGTAGAACAGCAACTTGTTCCTCGTGATATTGAAACTATAAGACTTTCGTTTCCTATAAATACATCCGTCATGAACTCTCCAAGAAACAAACCATTTTAAGCACTCAAAGCAAGTCTCTGAGAAACCTCCAAAATCATCCCCAATGGATATCAAAGTAGAAATTCCTGCACCTCAATCAACCAACAATGGTGATGCGAAAACTCCCCTTTTAGCCTCACAAAAATCACCTTCAACCACCACTCCCCAAACCGATCAAAATTCTTTGATCGCACAAGCTATTAGTTCAACATTCAAGGGCACAGCCTACCTAGCTTGTCGTCTCCCTACAGGAACAGTCCTTGCTTTTCAACTCTTATCTCCTATACTCTCCAACCAAGGCGTTTGCGACGTAGCTTTCAAAACCATGACAGCCATTCTATTGTCTCTGTGTGCAGTTTCATGTTTTATCCTTAGCTTCACAGACAGTTTCAAGGATGAAAAGGGAAAAGTTTTCTTTGGTTTCGCAACGTTCAAGGGCTTCTATCCCATTGATAGAACGGTGACTATTTCCCCTGCAGAAGCTGCAAAGAAAAAGATCGGTCCATTTGATTTCTTGCAAGCCTTTTTGTCGATGTTAGTTTTCGCGACCATTGCACTTCTTGATAAGAATATTGTAGACTGCTTTTATGCCACGCCTTCAGTTGAAATCAAAGAGGTCCTTTCGGTATTACCTGTTGCAAACGGGGTGGTTTGCAGTATGCTGTTTGTTGCATTTCCTACTCAGAGGCATGGAATTGGCTTTGGTGTTGACAAAACAAGCATTACATCTTAGTAAACAAATAGATCCTTTCCTATTATTTCGAACAAGTCCCAGTTTTTTGTTTTTCCCACATGATGCATGAATGTTGCTTTCCAGTAACTTGAAATAGTTGTATTCACCAATGTTATCTCTTGATTCTTTAATAGTGCAGTATTTCCAGAATTGCACAACTTTCACACAAGTCAAACCGCTCATATCTCAATTACAAGGCTGTTACTCATTTTTAATTATTATTTGTAAACCTGTACTCAAATTTTATTGTGATAAATTGAACAAAACCCCATACTTACCTGGCAATACCGTATGAAAAAAGGAGAATTACAGGTTGAAAGAAACCTTGTTCCAGGGTCAACACAAAATTTGAACAGCTAGTGTCAATAAGGAATTTAGTTGAAGTTGAAGGCCATTTCAAGGTAATGTATCACCAATATTTTATTGCTCCCCGTTTTATATTTTTTTCTTTTCCAAAACTAGATAATGTCAACTTGATCTTTGTTCAGTTGGAATATATTTGGTAGGAGAAAAGGTCAAAACATTCCAAATAATCGTCCTCTACTTTTTTTTTTTTATTTTGGTTAGTGTTTTTAACTCAAAAGCAAAGAAAGTTACTTATTTTGTTTGAGTTTCCTATAAATTTTGTATCTTTGGAAATCACAAGATGTGGAAAAGAAAAAGTTAGTTAACCACTACGTATAAGTATTTGTTTCCTTTGTGAAAACTGGTCAGAAAAATTGATTTTCTTAACTTCCTTTTTAATGTTTTCAATTATGTCACTACTCTTTGACTTTAACCCTTTTTCTTTTCTTTTCAAACCAATCACATATTCTCAACTTGCAACTTGCGGAGCCTAGCATAAGCACAAACAACCTGTAAGGATTTACTTTCTTTGAGAAAGCTGGTAAGAAAAATTGTTTTTCTTTTCCTTATTATTACTCTCAATAATGTCTCTACCCTTTGACTTTAATTTTTTTTTCCCTTTTCAAACCAATCCCATGATCTCAACTTGCAACTTGCAGAGCCTAATAAGCCGGGAACCAATTATAACTTGCAAATGAAACTCTAAATGTACAAATTCATCAACTCTGAATGCGAAACAACCTTGAGTAGCAAATTACATGATATATATGTAAACATGTATAAAGATAGGACTAATCCTGCTTTGCACCCCCGAATTTATAAGAATTTCTCACTTTACATCTTAAACTCTCAATTTCAAACACTTTATACCTTAAATATTCAAGTTTGTCCCATTTAAATCCAATCAATAACAATGTTAACAAAATTAATGAGATAAAAGATGTTGCAAATTAATGATGATGTATCATTTTATGCTAGCTACGATCCCTAGATTCCTTTTGACTGATTTCAGTACATTACATTAATTTGTGTGATCCTAGTCACAAATAATATTAGCAAAATTAATGAAATAAAAAATGATGCAAATTAATGATAATATATCATTCTATTCTAGTTACAATACCTAGACACTTTTTAGACCAATTTCAACCAATTATCATTGATTTGTAGAGTTCTCATGTCATTAGTTTTACTGATGTTGTCATTGATTTTAAAAAATAATGTTGTCATTGATTGGATTTATATGCAATAAATTTAAAAGTTTAAGATGTAAAGTGTCCAAAATTAAGAATTTAGCATCCAAAATTGAAGTTTACGGGGCAAAGTAAAAAGGTGATACAACTTTGAAGGTGCAAAGTGGAGTTAGTCCATAAGGATATTGTCCATGTTAAACCTTTTGTATTTCCGTGCCCATGAATCATATAATGCGTTAAAATTACTTCAAAGGATTTGATTAGACAAGGTTGTTTATATTTTAACAAAAATGCCAGTTGGCGAAAGGAGACAAATAACTTTGAGGGTGTACAAAATGACGGTGGAAGTAATGCGTCTCTGGAGTAGGTATCAATAATGCGTCTCTGGATCTTTGTTCATCCTACGCCGTAAATATTTTGGAGTTTGTAGAAAAAACTTGGTGATTTAATATACTACCATCAACCAAAATATGTCTATGATTAATTAAATGAAGGGGTGCAGGAATAGCCGAGGCCATACTCAACCCAAAGAAGATGTTCAAACGCATTTCATGTAATTTTAATAACTCTTGGTCTGTTGACCCTGATATACATATTGTTCATACTTAATTAACTTTAAGAGAATTGGTGCCTAAGTGCAATCATTCATGAAAGAAAGAACCCAATAAGTAGGGGTAGGCAAGGCCAATATGTCACGGTGAGGCATTTGATTGATCCACCTACACTCTATGAGTCAGTCATTTTTCAATTCTTATTCGTTTTGTATATCATCAATACTTGATGAGGATTAGATTATTAGAATTATTAGGTAACTTTTACCCTTTATTTTAAAATATAAAGGAACGCTACACATTAATTTCATTTTGTATTTCACGCGTTCTTCTAAGAATCAACACATGTATTATGTAAAAAAAGTCTCATGCCTGCAAACAGCATCAAAAAAGAAAAAACAAATATAGCCATCCAAAACCAAAAAAACTACACAGAAATTGATTATCCAATCTCTAACACAACTAAAAAAATATTTTCAAATTGTTCCTTAATTTTCAATGTTACTAGCAAACGCTTATGATCCAAGCATGAAATTTTAATCTTAGGTGTAATTAATTCAATAAGATAAAAAAAAAGTACACAAAGAAAATAAAAACTTGATACGACTTACACTTTTTTTTATATATTCTAGATCAACTAAAGTTTCTTCGAAAAAAATAAGAGCGTAACCTTTACGAATAAAACTTCTAAACAAATCATAGGCTCTCATAATTGGGATTTAATTTGATCAAATGAAATTAATTAATTATCTTTGAAATTAGTACTTGTGTATATAAATAAATAAATTACTCTATATATATGTATATATATATATATATATATATATATATATTTGCATGTATGCAAGTCGAGACGGGTACCCATGAATTTTCAAACTTTTCACCCCTGCATATAAGTGGGTACGTGACCCTTTTCTAACTTAGGGTCCGTTTGTTTCGGGTGAAAATATTTTCCTATTTTCCCTAATTTCCCCTGTTTGGTTGCACAAAAGTTACTGAAAACATTTTCCTATGTAAAATATTTTCACTCATCTTATGGAAAACAACTTCCCTTCCAAACTTACTGAAGTTGTTTTCCGAAATGCATGCATTCTGCCTGTAGTATGTTCTAAACTTACTGAAAACATCTTGTAGTATGTTTTTTTTTTTTTAGTATAAACAGGAACACTCGAACCCAATACCTCTTCCTTACACTCCCTCCCCCGTACCACCCAAGCCAACCCAACCCTCCCCCTAGTATATTCAAAATAATAAAAAAAAAGACCTCATCCTGCTCATCCTATACTAGTAATTAATTATGTATAATAGGGACATTCTTTTCTAGAAAAACTTCCAGCAGTGAGAGTGCAAGATATATGTCACAATAAGCATTGCATGTGATTGATATTTGACACTAAATGGCCAGCAATTTGTTTATTGCTTAATGAGATATTTTTTATTCATATATACATTTCTCCAAGATTTTTTAAAGTTAAACAATGAGATAAATTTTTTTATTTTGCATGGGAAGAAGTATGTAGTTATAATGTGTAGAAAGTAAAGATAGAGATAAAAGTGAAAATATTTTAAAAGTTAAACAAACACCAAAAAAATGAAGTAAGAAAATATTTTCAATAAGCTAACCAAACACCTGAAAATGATAAAAGGAAAATGATTTTCATGGAAAATTACTTCCACGGAAAATATTTTTTCAAAGAAAACATTTTACTTCCAACCAAACAGACCCTTAGTGAAAAAATGCAGATTGGTACCATAATTTCGAAAAGGATTGGACCTGAATTTGCAAGTCAACGCGTATTTTTGCCACGCCATCCCCAAGGCCGCCATTAACTAGCGTGTAAACTATGATTCATTGAATGAGTAAAACTTGGATGTACACATTCTCTCTATACTAGGGGTGGCAATTTTCGATACGACTTGAAAACACGATACGAAACTAACACGAAATTAATGGGTTTGGGTTGAGGTTTCGGAAATTCGGGTCAGAATCGGGTTGAACTCGATGAACCCGAAAAGAAAACAGGTCGATTTCGGGTCAACCCGTTGTGACCTGATATGACCCGATATGACCCGTTTACGAATTAAAAATAATTTAATAAACATAAAAATAATTTTATCTAACTAAACTAAGTTATTCTTTTTTTCAAAGGCATTAATTACTTAATCCTAAATGAATTTATTTAATTTGTGTGAAGTTGAAATTATTATATTTGGACAAATAATATATTATATTATTTTTTACTTTTATACTGTTTTAATTTATTTTATATTTTGTTTGGGATAAAACACTTTTACGGTGTTTAATTTATTTTAGATTTGGTTTGGAATTATTTATTTAAAATTTTATTACTTGATTATGTAATTAGTTTTGTGAGAAATTAATTTTATTAGAAATTACAGTGATAAATTAATAAATTAAAATTAAGTTTCGGGTCATTTCGGGTCAACCCGCCAACCCGTCAACCTGAAAATTTTGGGTTCGGGTCAGTATACCTGACCCGTCACGGGTTGGCGGGTCGGGTTCGGGGCAACATATTTTCTGACGGATCGGGTCAGACCCAACCCGCCAACCTGATTTGGACCCGAATTGTCACCCCTACTCTATACGTCACCACGAGTGAAAGAGGGACACCCTTGGGCCACAAACAAAAAACCAGTCTTAGACAAAGGCTTCATCACTATGTCAGCATTTGTTATTGCGTATTGATTAATTGAACAAGAAGATAGTGAGACTAATTTTATCTAACAATATGGTAACCTGGCTCCATATGCTTTCTACGTGCATAAAATGAAATAGGATTAACGGGCCCAATGCAGGTGCGTCAATTGGCAATGTCAGCACAGTTAGACAATCCCAAGCATAACCCATTTACATTTTGGATGTGTAGACCCAAGCTAGGCTCATTAAAGC